ACCAGTGATACAAAATACCAATCTTAGGGTGACTGGACTGTGTTGCTGGCTTTCCTTTTAGTCCTGTTACTGCTGCAAGCTGAGTATGAAGGAGGGCGATCCAGCCATCTATGCCGAAAGGGCTGGCTATGACAAACTGTGGCACCCAGCTTGCTTCGTCTGCAACACCTGCCACGAACTCCTGGTCGACATGATCTATTTCTGGAAGAATGGGAAGCTGTACTGTGGCAGACATTACTGTGACAGTGAGAAACCCCGGTGTGCTGGCTGTGATGAGGTATGACCTCTGGGACTCCTGAACGCAGACTCCCTCTTGCACGCCCATGTGGTCCCTTTGTGCAGAACGTTGCAGGAATTAAACCTCAGTTGCTTTCTTTATGACCAAAGGAATTTAATGAAAGAAACTTTTGATTTCATTCATTCTGAGTATCCATATTAATTGTTAACTAGTAAAAAAACTGTCAAGGAACATGAAAGATTAATTTGGACTAAACTAAATGAACCTAAGTTCAAGCTTTAGATTATCACTTTTTAACTTCAGCCCCCAAGAAAATATGTTAATATACGTGTAGATCTAACTCCCTTATTGTCTGAAGAACCTAGCTTTGTCATCTGTGGCAAAGAGGAAAATATGTGACTCATCCTACTTTTATCCATGTCCCAGCTGATATTTAGCAACGAGTATACCCAGGCGGAAAACCAGAATTGGCATCTGAAGCATTTCTGCTGCTTTGACTGTGACAGCATCCTGGCTGGGGAGATATACGTGATGGTGGATGACAAGCCCGTGTGCAAGCCATGCTATGTGAAGAATCACGCTGTGGTGAGGGGCGTTCTGAGGATGTGGTTGTCTGCTTTACAACTGAAGTTTATGCCTCTCTTTAAGACTATTACAAATGGGAAATGGAAAGCACTCCTGTTCAGTAGAAAACATGTGATTCCTACCATTAGGCTGTTAAAATCGAGACAGTTCAAAGACAGTACATACATTGATTATGAGCCAGTCCAAGATTTTTACCTGTGTAGTTTACATTATAGATTATAAGTGCTGCTTGTAATAGAATCCTCACTAAGAAAAATTCTTAATAACAATGAGACTGAATTATGAACACAGATCAGACTCGATTTCAAAACGGTTTGGTGGTTAAGGCAGTTGGATTATATGTGACTGACCTCGCAGTCACAATAGGTGCCTATGTATGCCTAAAATCCTGAAAGGAGAAAGAAATAGAGGATGAGAGATTGCAGCCTGATTATCCTCCATGGAAGGGGAGTGCTTTCTCCCTACCCCGACCCCTCACTGTTTCTCGAGCAAGCACCTACACCCAATGGCAAATTTTAAAAAATTATTATTACTATTTTAGTAATAATAATGAGATGTATCCAGTTCCATAAGTACAGATCAAACTCCATTTCAAAAGGTTTCTAGGGACTGTTCATATTCCTTAGCTCTATTTGAACATGTGTGGTTTTATCTATGTTACCAGACCACCCACGGGGATAATGTTTGCTCCTGGAGACTGTGCAGTGCCTGTTTCTTAAACCTTTACTAAATTGATTCAGTTTAACAAAAGTCCTGCATCTGTAGATTTATTTGTGAGGTCTAAACATTCAAGTACTTACTGTGAGAATGTATTTTTAATTCTATCTAATGGAGATAGAGAGTAAAAAGTTGATCGTGTATGATAAGGAGTATAAGCCAGGACTTTCAGGATAGGTTTTCACAATTTTTTTTTAAGAATTATTTCATTTTACATGATTTATTAATTTATGTATGTATTTTAATTTGACCAGAGCCGGACAGAGAGAGAGAAAGTGAAAAAGCAAGCCACCAGGTCCAGGAGTTGAGCTACGGTCAGCCATGTGGGAGTCCAACGCCCTTAACTACCATGCCACCTGCCATCCCCCACAAAATTCTCTATATGTAGGAAGACATACTGATTAAAGTTTTCAACTCCAAACAGGGTATTTATGAGAAAAGGAAATTAACCTAGAAAGAACATGGCAAATGCATCTAGTTGGTCGACACTGGAACTCACGCCACCCCCTTCAGAGTTCATATCTGTGAGATTTCACAGGGCCCGCCTACCAGTGTTATCAGCTATTTCACATCTTAAATACAAATAAATGAGCAAGAGGGATCGAAGGAAAAAAGAACTCTTTGAAATCGTAGGTAGAGGCGTGAGAACATAGGAAAATCGAATGCCAGCAGAAGGTGGTAAAGCAAATCTTTTCTTCAAGGTTCCGCAGTCCACAGAGCCTGATTGCAGCCTGGGAAGCTTTTAGATTCTTTAGTAATTAGGGATTGGTAGAGCTTACCTGGGATTCCATGTCAGACTTTGGGATGAATGGTAATCAAATTAGTAATAAAGCTAAATTTTATGAAACCACAAACCCTAAATTCTCTGTATCTTTCATGGGTTACTGGTTTTTAAAAATACATCTAAATAATTTCCTTAATTTCACATGTAATTGAATACTAGTTCTCTTCTTTTTGTAAATTTCAAATGAAAATATGTGTTTTACATAATTAGAAAAAGAGGTACAAATAGTATTCAGCACTGATAAAGGGAAAGGTAGATCTGTCTACAAGCAATGAAATAAAACATTGAGTGTGAAATGCTTCTGTTAGGCACAGACAAGTTTGAAAATACTGGAAGATTAATATATAATGTAGAAAACTACAAAACAAAATTCTAAATAATTTATAAATCTATAAACAGTAAATACTGGGTCATTGGAAAAGTCATGATGTATTTTTCTATACGAAAATGCATCATGACTTTTCTACTGACCCAATATATACAAAAAAGCAATTGATTGCGAGGTGCATTATAACTAGGAGTACACTTATATTAGAACATTGATTTTTGTTGTGTTCAGGAATAGTGTATTGATCGTGCAGACCAATTGTCTTCCTTGTTTTTCAGGGAAGTCTAGATTGATAAAAAGTTGTATAATAGATTACAGGGCCATAATCTCTAATTAGAAGCAATACAGCTCTAAAAACTGTGGAAAGTATATTGCAGATCAGAAATGAATGTATGTAACAAGGCCCCCCTTCAATGCTTACACCAGTTTGCCCTCTGAGTACCAACCCTCTTGTAAAGTCTTCTCAAATAAGGAAACTCTGGCTGAATGACCCTCCTCAGCCCACGCAGCCTCACCTGCACCTCTCAGTAATTCCTGCAGTCACATTAAGAGACTGACTGTTTGGGACCAGCAGTTAGCGTAATGGCTATGTCGCTGGACTCCCATGTAGTCATTTGCGGTTCAAGTCCCAGATCCAGCGGCTTAAACTCACGCCAGGCACGTGTGTGTGCGTGCCCAAGATCCCAAGAGGAGAATGGAGGAGAAGGGATTGCGGCGTGGCCATCCTCCCTGGGGGGTGACTTCTCGTTTTCTGTCTCTCTGTCTGTCTCTGTCTGTCTGGCAAGCGCATGCGCCCTATAGCAAAAACCTCTCCAAAAATAAAAAGAGAGACTAAGAGTGTTTCAAATTAGTCACCATCTTCTTTTGGATTATCTTGTTGGCTTCCTCACTTGTTATAAAATATTTTAAACTTGGGACCAGCAGTTAGCGTAATGGCTATGTCGCTGGACTCCCATGTAGTCATTTGCGGTTCAAGTCCCAGATCCAGCGGCTTAAACTCACGCCAGGCACGTGTGTGTGCGTGCCCAAGATCCCAAGAGGAGAATGGAGGAGAAGGGATTGCGGCGTGGCCATCCCCCCTGGGGGGTGATTTCTCGCTTTCTGTCTCTCTGTCTCTCTCTGTCTTTCTGGCGAGCACATGCGCCCTATAGCGAAAACCTCTCAAAAAAAAAATTTTTTTTAAACTAAAGATGTAGAATCACATTCATTCAGAACATGTAAAACAAGAAAGCATATAGAATTTTCAGTGTTACAGAGGTCTCAACTGGTTAGTTTTCTGTATTCTACAGTAATATGGGAGGTTATTCATTTATTCTCTCCATATACATGTTTGGTTAAGAAAATTGCGTGTTAAGATGTGTGCGTGTTTGTGGATGTACATATGTATGTTTATATCATGTATATATTGGTGCACAATGTAGACTGATACAGGGACTGTATTAATGATCCATAATATTATATTACACATAAATTATGACTGATCTTAAAACAGAAGCCAATTAACTACAAATTATATTCCTAGTTCAAATTCATTACTCTCAAACAACTGTCAGTATTTTTAATTGAGTCCTTAATTAATTTGAACATGATTTTAACTTATTACAGTCTAGAAATTAGTAATGTTAATAATATCATGTGTCATAGGTAAGACTGGTAAAATTACCATCTCAAAGCTTTAATAAGAGAGGAAAAGCATCCTATAAACTTCTTGATAATTACTAATCTCCAGTGTAATAGAATACACTGGAACCAAATATTCTACTCTGCTATCCAGACTTTCTGCCATAAGAACCATGGGGAGATATATACCTATATCTATCTATCTATATATATATCAAATCCCCTCACCTCACCTATTATTTCTCACACTGCTCAGCATATAGACACCCATTAACAGTTGTTGGCTAAAAAGGTTATTATTTATGCATTTATCTTCATTTTTGAGGTTGCCATTCTCAGTTTTACTTTATCACCTAAAGGAACACGGTCAGTCTGTTCTGAGATGAAAATGGCGTCATCACCGTTTGCTCTCTCATCTCTTCTCTTTATTACTAAACAGGTGTGTCAAGGATGCCACAATGCCATCGATCCGGAAGTGCAGAGGGTGACCTATAACAACTTCAGCTGGCACGCGACCACAGAGTGCTTTCTGTGCTCCTGCTGCAGCAAGTGTCTCATCGGGCAGAAGTTCATGCCAGTAGAAGGGATGGTCTTCTGTTCGGTGGAGTGTAAGAAGATGATGTCCTAGGAGAACACCAAGCAGTACCGAGCCGTCTGCATTTCGACTGTCAGATACAATTTGAAAAAAAAAAAAAAATTAAATTAAAAAAAAAAGGAACCATAAGGAAACAAGGAGATTTTGTTCAATATCTTTGTTGCTTTTCCTTATCAATATTTTTTTTTTTTCTCTCAACTTTGAAAACCGACTTGCAACATTTAATCTTAAAAACGGTAGGGCATTTTGTCTTCCCTTAGCTTTCCAAATATGAAATCTTTGAGTCGGATGCTTGGGTTTAATTAACTTCATGTCTTTACCACCTTGTGCCAAACACAGTAGATATAAAACACTTAGAAGTCAGTGTACTGAATGAAAAGATGAGCATTTCTAGTTCTGTGCTCTTCTTTTCCCTCATGTGTAAAATGGACAGGAAATTAAATTTGCCCTGCTGCCGAGGCTCCGCATTTCTTGCCTCTTGCTATTCCCTGAGCTTTGTAATTGCGCACAGTGAATCCTTTCTGGCAGAGAAAGTAGGAAGGCAGCGTGGCGTGTAGAACCGCTGCTTTCATGCCTGTGTATCTGCTATTTCTTGATTTGGGCAGAAGCAGAATTTCCTTTATTGTGTTTCTCTATTTTTTTTTTTTTTATTTACTCTCTACCTCTCAGTATTCTTTGTAATCTGGTAACCTCCATCTGTGGCCTTGAATATTCTCTTATCACATGTGACTTAACAATATCCACATTTTTACTTCTATAGATGATTTTTGGCTTGGACATAAAAACCAGGTCACTCCTTTATATTGTTTTCAATCCAAAGAACATGTAAAGTTTTTGTATCTAGGAAACCATAACTTGTATTGATTGCACTCGCCTGCTCTGGCTCAGATAGATTTTTGCATGGTTTGAACTCTTTTCTAATGGAGCCCTTTTTAAATGATACTTCTAAGCCTGTTAATAGAAATACCGAATGTCTTCTTTGCTTATGTACTTCCATTCCTAAATATTTCTAATGTTTATTTTTTTCCTGTATGCTTCTATACATAGCTATGCACTATGAAAATTAAATGGAATGAATGTGTATAATATTATTCAAATAAAGTTTTTTCACTTTAATGGCTGTCTCTTCATTCCCTTTTCAGTTTGCATGAATAATCCTTCCGCAATTAAGAACATGGTACAGCAGGGGGCAGTGTCTCTACGGATAAAAAGTCTCTAAACAAAAATAAAAGCTTCTGATAAAACAGAAACTAGACATTTCATTATGGAGAAGAGGGAAGTTTTACGAAACTTTAAAATAGATCAGGTCATTTAAATTGTTTACTGGTCATGCCAGAGTTTTTTCTTTTAAAATGGGCAAGTGTTACTTGAACTGAAGTTTAGGAAAACATTTTACCTTCAGATGAAAAACATATTCTTTTTTTTTTTTTTTTTTAAGAGAGATTTTTGTTTTAGGGTGCGCACACTCTCCAGAGAGAGAGAGAAAGTGAGAAAAACCCTCCACACCCATGGGGTATGGCCACACCATATAATCCCTTCTCCTTCATTCTCCTCTCAGGATTTTGAGCATGCATTCACATGTGCCAGTGTGTTTTAAGCTGCTGGATCCAGGACTCGAACTGTAATTCACGTACATAACCATTACACCATCTGCTAGTGCTACAACCGTTACTTATACCCAAGTTGCAACTCCACTTGTTTGGTTCCCTTAGAGTTTTTCATTGCAACCTATTGTGAGATAGGAAACAAGTGGGGAATAGTGGTCAATTCTTTCTCCCTAATATTAGCAGATCATGAGGTTTTTTATTTCTCAGTCTGAGGTAGGGTTCTGTTAGTAAAAAAAGCAGTTCTCCTTGACACAAGAAAATTTGGATTTTTAAGATTTATTTTGGCAGCTCATCTTTGGCTAATAACACTTCCCTTTATTTTTTACTTATTTACTTAATTTTTTTTTCTTTTTTTGAAGAGTTTTTCACTATAGGGCACATGCGCCCACCAGAAAGACAGAGAGACAGACAGAAAGTGAGAAATCACCCCCCAGGGGGCATGGCCACGCCACAATCCCTTCTCCATTCTCCTCTCAGGATCTTGGGCATGCACGCACATGTGCCCGGCATGAGTTTAAGCCACCGGGTCTGGAACTCGAACTGCGGTCGACTACATGGGAGTCCAGCGACATAGCCATGATGCTAACTGCTGGTCCCCCGACTTCCCTTTATATTTTGACACCTCCCCACACACACATATGCACACATACAAGCACACATACAAACTCACATCTGCTCAAATATATTTATGTATTCCCTTTATAGTGCCTTCTCCAGCCATGAAAAACGTATCTTTTGGAGCTTGAACACATGTTACCTTATCTAAAAATGTAACCTAATTTCATATACAGTCTTAAATTCTAACATTACAAATATCCACCATTGTTTGTAACTTGTCATTTTATGCTCACTCTTTTTGCTTTTATGATTTTTTTTTCTGTTTGTTTGGTTTTTTTTGGTGAGGTTTTTGCTATAAGGAGCATGCACTTGCCGGAAAGATAGAGACAGAGAGACAAAGTGAGAAATCACCCCCCAGGGTGGATGGCCACGCTGCACGTACATGTGTCTGGTGTGAGTTTAAGCCGTGGGGTCTGGGACTTGAGCTATGGTCGACTACATGGAAGTCCAATGACATAGCCATCATGCTAACTGCTGGCCCCTGCCTTTATCTTAAATGGTAGTAGATTTTTTTTTTTTTCTCACAGCATTTTGCACAAAATTGAACCACTTGCCTTTCCCAAACATGGCTGAGAATAAACTGAAGCAACCCCACCAGCCTAGCCCCGACTCTTCTGGCATGAAGGTAGAATCAAACTGGGTTGGAGATATAGAAGGGTAAGAAATTTAAATTTGACCAGATCCATCATTCAATACCCAGGATCATTACGGCAGGGATATTGGGATATTTCCTAGAAGAAAAAACTGCCTGGAAGAGACAGGATCACTAGGTCTGGCTCTGCCCTGACTTATTTTTAGTTTGGCCTTGTAGTGCAGAAGAATGGACTCAGAGACTTTCTCAAGGTCCCAGGCCATTTTTATTAAACAGGTTTTTAAAAAATGGTTTCTCAAGTACTTTTTCCAATAAAATTATTAGAAGAGTAAATTGGTTGCCATATTCTGTAAGATTTATTTTTCCTGTAGTATTTAGGATATAATCCCCAACATCATTCTATGTTTTTCATTGTCTCAATTCTAAGTAATGACTTACTTGTTACAGGGGACAAACTTCAATCATTCCATTGCAATAGGGAAAATATAGAGAAGTAATAAACATGTAAAACTTTTTAAAAATCTAGATTCAAGTATTTTTAAATCCCAAAGTAGAACGTTTAGAATAATTTTTCATTTTAATTGTTTTCTAATGTCAATAGAAATTTCTCCCATCATAATCCCATTTAAGTTCTATTTTTCTTAGCTGTAACTTAGCAACTACATGTATGCAGTTAGCAGGAGAGAGATCCTCACATTGGAAGGGACTATATTGGGAAGGAGAAAATATCAGAGTATGAAACTGTGAACATCACAGATAGTAAGAAAAGGGATGAAGTACCATTTCCCGTCTGCAGAAGCCATCCCCTTGCATATTAAAGGGTATAGTGATTTCTGTTTTTCCTATCCCCTCAACAGCAATGAGATCTTGAGAGTAAGGAGTTTGGATGAGGAAAGAAAGGGGAGATACTTCATTTCTGAAACCCCAGAAAGTCAAAAAGATTTTTTACACATCATCAGTTGCTGAAGTCTATTGAGGTAATATATTTATTAGCATTATTGAAAGAAGCAGAAAATAGTGGGACCAGCAGTTGGCATAGTTAATTGCTATGTTGCTGGGCTCCCATGTAGTCGACTGAGGTTAGAGTCCCAGCCCGGATGGCTTAAACTCACTCCGGGCGCGTGTGCATGCGTGTCCAAGATCCCAAGAGGACAAGAGGAGAAGGGATTATGATGTGGCCATCCTCCCTGGGGGGCTGGGGGGGGGTGATTTCTCTCTTTCTGTCTCTCTGTCTTCTGTCTAGCGAGCACATGTACCCTATAACAACATCAACAAAAAAATCTCTCTCTAAAAAAGAAAAAGAAAATATTAGAATGATTTATCATGTGATCACGTGCTTATTTGTGGATACTGCACACATCCTATTCATCTCTGAACAGAAGTTTTACTGGTAACGTTTTTTATTTTTGGAGAGGTTTTTGCTATAGGGTGCGTGCGCTCACCAGAAAGACGAGAGAGACAGAGACAAAGACGGGGGGATGGCCATGCCACAATCCCTTCTCCTCCATTCTCCTCTCAGGATCTTGGGCATGCATGCACAAGTGCCTGGCATGAGTTTAGGCCACCGAGTTTGGGACTCGAACCATGGTCGACTACATGGGAGTTCAGTGACATAGCCATTATGCTAACTGCTGGCCCCACTTGAAACTTTTTAACACAGTTATAATTTTGAGAAATCAGGATTTCGGTTACCCAATCCCAATAAGAAATCTGGGTTGCTCTTAAAATGTGATCTTTTTATCTTTTTTTTTTTTTTTTCCTTTCTGGAAAGCCGAGGATTATTTTTTTTTCCTTTTACTGTGACTAAAACATTTGTGACTCTGAAGTGTTCAAGCATAGATTTCCAAGTCTGACTTTGAAGCATTCCTGACCAAGTTTACCAAAGGCAAGAGATTCATTACTGACTCATTCTTACGGAATTTCCAGCATGTAGTACTTAAGCTCATCCAACTTCACCATGGTTACCAAAGAGACACCACCACTCAAGCTCAGTATTAAGCCTTTGTTTCAAGATGCCCTGGCATATCTGAACTTGTCTTCTGGGTATTCACTTAATTCCTTGGAAAACTTATGACTCCATCAATGTCTCCATAAAAAAGCTCTTTACTACAATTTCTTATTAGATGCTCTCTGCCCCTTCCTGACATCTGCTGATTTAAGTGCTCAGTGACAACTTTGATGACTGAACTGAATGCTCACATACATGAAGAGGAGCCACTGTGCTGGTCATGTGGATATGTTTTGAGCATAAAACCTGAAACATTCTAGCTTGATTAAAGGAATTTTTTTTTAAATGTACTAGATGCTTAAATAGCTTTGGCTAATTATTGTGTCTTTTCATGGGGAACATGCCATTGTAGCTTCTATTGAATCTGATAACGTGTTTTGAAGTACTCAAAACAAGATGTCATTAACATTTTTTACTTGTTTTGAATGACACTTTATGCTGACATTTATGACAGGTGCTATTGATTTTTCTTCGGTGATACTTCTCTGGATATCTTGACCTTCAGATAATAAGAAAGCAACTTGCACCTAGTTATTTTTATCAGAATTAGTCATGTCAAAGACAAACATTAAAAAAAAAATACAAACATTAGAGTTGATTTCTCCATAGATATTGACT